GAAAACTTTCTCAGAAACATTACAAAAAGAGAAAAATCAGCTGTTGAAGGAAAAGAAACAGCTGGAAAGAACTTTTTTGAGGATATGAGAAATAAAGAAAGGGCAGATTTGTTCTTAAAAAGTATCATCAAGAAAACTTCAGAGTTTGATCGTTTGAATAATCCATTCCTACTAAGAAAGAGAAAATGTGGACACAATTATAAATTCTATTTAAACTCATTTTGACAAGCCCAGTTTGAAGGTTTTTCAAATTTTTGTTAAAGCACTTCATTTCCGAAAAAGTTAAGATCAGACAAATGTTACAAATGTTATGTTACAAAGTTATATCTTAGCTGTATAAAATTGCTTAACTTTTTATTTTTAGTAGATAGTTCTTCTGTTGATATTTCAACGTTAATGTTTTTTATTAATCCGTGTTTCATTTATCTTTTTCCCTCATCTTATTTCGGGTAATTTTAAAATCTAAAAAAGGTTTTATCACGAGCTATATAATAGTGGTTATTCTAAAACTTTGCAAATTAACATAACATAACAACATAACAATAAACGCGACTATGCGACACCTTTAGTCAAAATTCACTTTAGATACAGTTTCTGGTCATCCCTAAGACACCATAATTCTAAAATTTTCTTGCCGCCAACGATGGTGGCGACCTTTCCTAAGCCCTTTCATAACATTAATATATTGGCCCCTCCACTTTCAAATACGTTTCGCCGGCCCTGCTGCAGCAGCCCTAATGAATGCAGATGGATGAGTTGAATCTAAATGTAGAAATGAAAATGATGTCTATTCAGAGGGTTGATGAAAGGCCTTTTGAAGGATGTTGGGATGTACAGTGCCAAATGCGACAGTAGCTCAAACATCCTTCTGAAGTAAGCGTCGTGGAAATCGACTTTGGAAAGAGGTTCAATTTGCTCACTGAACGTCAAGGCCTAAAGGCTAATCTTTCTCGCAATCAGGTAGGTGCATCAATGTAAAATGCTTTTTACAATGTTTATGAACATTAAGGCTGATTTCCACTAGGCGAATTCTTTCGCGCGAATCGAATTTTTGCCAATGTGAGCATGCGTGGTGTCATCTTCTCAGATTTCACAGCGAAAAAATTCGATTCGCAGAAAGTAGATCACGGTCCTACTCTATCGCTACAAAAATTTATTCGATTCACGCGAAAGAATTTGCCTAGTGGAAAAGTCAGCTGAAATCGCTGGGTGAAAGTTAATTAAGTTTTTATTATGTCTCGACTGAGACTCAAAATATGCCATCGCCGCGTTTTTATTCAAGCCGAATTCAAGTCCACGAAAGTCTCAATTACACTACTAAACATTTCTTACTTGCAGTTGTAAGAACTGTATGGTTCTTTAAAATAGCACGGCTTTTGCAATGTACGAAGAATGTGGAGGAATGGTACTTAGATATTATGAATTGACAATGTGGACAAAACTGATGATGATGATGATGATGATGATGACGATGATGATGATGATGATGATCATGATGATGATGATGATGATGATGATTGATGATTATGATTATGATTGATGATGATGATGATTATGATGACGACGATGACAATGATGACGACAACGGAGATTCCAAATGTATTAAAAGTCTGTTTCGCTTCCAGTCTGTTTCCCAGACAACTAATAACCTTTATGCTCTATGAGATTGCGATTCACAGACTAAAAATACCTAAAAAACGGTGGAACGAGCTATGACTCGCCAAAACTACAGAACTAATTTATTGGGGCTCTGTGAGTGGAACCTAACTGGGAATCTGTTTTTTTATTTGACGAAGAACATTTTTTGCTTGATAACATAACACGAATAATTATTCTTATTCGGTTGCTTTATCAAAATGCGTTTCGCAGATTTACACTTTCTTGATATACAGCGGGGAATGCTATGACGCAGTAAGTTTACCAAACCCAGATCTTTGAATTCCACTATCAACCTTTGCAAGAAGGAGAAATCGATGCGTGCCTAACGATCCCTAACGAACCGCGCTGACAAAACGGTTCCAGCATAATGATCTCGCGGCAGTGCAATTACTTGATTACGAAGGGGAATCTATCGTACGTAATTGTGAGCAGCCAAACTTTTAATTTCGTAAACTTCCTAGTTGCAAGTGCAAAGATTTCTTCAACTCGGCAATTCAACTATTTGATGAAGAAATGTAGTCACAGATCCCAAGATTATCAATTGATTATTCCCGTAACTGTTGGTCTGACCTCACACGATCCAAATTTATATTTTTCTTTACGTTATTCCTGCACCAAACTATCTTATCCAACATATTGACCCTTTCTTTAAAAAAAATACGGGGTCTGAAAAATTTCGAATGAATTTTGGATCAACCCCAGAGAAAATTGAAAAGTCCCTGCAAGCATTTTGTGACAATTTCGCAAAGCCTGGAAATCTTCGAATAACTTTCACCGACTTTGGAAAACTTGCGAAAAACTAAACAGATTTGAAACACTTACAATATATTTTCCACGACTCATGCATGAAATTTAATTCTTGCAGAAACTCGTGAAATCGCATATTCCCGCACTTTCTTTTGTATCCTACATAGCAAATTGCAAATTATACGTCTAATTACGTTGACGCTTGACAGGATGAAAGCACCATTCTCGATAACGAGAAGTTTCTGATCTATTCTGGCTACCGTTCAACATGCACGTGCAGAACCAATTTTAACTGCACAACGTCACGAGCAAAACTAAAGGTGATTGGTCGAATCTAAGAGGATGACCACGAAGGGGATCTCAGGCTAGCAGCCGAACCCAATTTAATAGCACGATTATAGACCTAAGTGTCGATTAGCGAACCTCAATTGCCCACTTAATCGGGAAACTCACGATTCTCGATTGTTCGTTTGGGAAAATTGGGAAAATCCTTTGATTTTGGCATTCTATGCCTGCATTGTTTCGATTGTCTCCCGCCTTTGAATTCGGCTTCTATGTTTTCATTGTTGAACTCATCAAAATGCCGATCCATTGTTACACAATTGGCAACAATTCTACATATATATATACTTAATATATATATATATTATTATATATAATAAATAGAATATATACTAGAATGAGACATGTTCTCCGTTATCCGAGTTTCGGTGCTTACGCACTCACAGAGACTATAATGAGAATATTCTGTTACCGAGGTATTAATATACAAAAGGTGTGATAAGTTTAGACAAAGAAATTTTATTTAATACAGGTTAATTAGTTAGGTGAGTTCTATTGTTCAATGAGGTAAACTTGTTTCGTGTCGGCATTTGGAGATTAATTCGGATCGTTTGTTTAGAAGGGTGTGTTTATTTTGCTTTGATGATGTATAGTTTTTGTGTTAAGCATAGGTCACACTTTTTTGTAATGTTGTTGTATGGTTTGGCTGAGGTTGATGATGGTCATTGTATGTCATAATCCTTGTTTTTGTCTTTAAGTTCCCAGATGTATTTTGATAGTTCGGTACTGTTTGGCGTATTTTCGGTTTGCGGAATGAGAGTTTGTGTTGTGTAAATCGTTGTTTGAAGGTTCCTTCTGTTAGGCAATGTAGTTTTTGTTGACAGTGTCTTCGTTGTGGTGATATGTGCGTTGTAGATGATGCTGGAAGAGAGGCAGTTGTTGTCTAGTGGCATGTGTCTTTTTCGCATTGCAGTGTTTTCTCGTTGGTAGTGGGTGGGATTGTGTTGATAATTTTCTTGTTGTGTTTGTTTGATGATAGTTTGCATATTATATACAGCTGTAGCTGACTTTAACGTTGTTTCTTGTTGAAGATCTGATGAATTTGTGGTTTTGGGAAGTGTATGTGTATGAGCTTGAGGAAAGTTCTGCGATGTTAGTTTGTACATTCTGGCTGTATGGTGGGTTGTACCAGATTATGTTGCGCTGTCTGTTTCTTCTTTTACGTGTGGGTGATGTGTGGTCGTTGTATTTTAGGTGTCGGGGTATCCACTGGCTTTTAGGGCGTTTTTCGTAGATGGGCTTGGCTTTGTTGAATTCACTTTCGTTGCATGATATGTCAGTTATTCTACGGTTGATTGCTCCAGGTAAGTTGCTTGATGATGTTGGGGGATGGTTGACTTTGTATTATGTATAGTGGCTGGTCGTTGGGCTTTCTGTATGGACAATACGATTGATTTGTTAGGTTTAGTGTTACGTCGAGGTAGTTCACAATTTTTAGTTGGTCTGTATATGATGTTGAGGCGTGAGTCTTGAAAAGTTTTGTAATGTCCTTCCTGATTCTCTCTGCTTGTGGACAGGGGTGTTCTTAAAGATAGCGAGTCGTCGTCTCTGTATAGACTATGTTGTCTTCCGTATTTTGCACGCCAGCTTATGAGATGAAAGACCAACCAGTTCAAAATTTCGCGCCGTCAAAGCTCCCCATAGTCACATCGAACATGTGGCTGTCTTTTTTCGTCCATGTATTTCCTTTGCTGAATAGGAGTGATTTGCGGCATGCATTATGATGTTGGTATCCTTTTCGGTGATTTTGGAGTATTTCTTGGCGAAGGAGATAGAGTCTGTAAGGAGTTTTTCGGTTATTGAGGGTAAAAGTTTTCAATGTCGAAGATAAAAATGTATGTTGATGCTTGTTTGGTATGCTGTTGAACCAGTTGATTACAGACGAAGTTGTTTTCCATTGGTTTAGGGTAGTTTGGTTTCTGATGTCGTGTCTGATTCTGTCAAGGATCTGTTGCTGATACGGCCTATTTCACTTTTTGCGGGTTGATTAGTCTGCAGGTGGGGTTGTTCTGGAAGTTTTCTTTATGGTTTTTAAGAGTTATGAATGCTTGTCATCTCTCTCAACAACAAGGAGGA